ATAGGGGAAAAAAACATCGTAAAAAGAACAAAACTAGAAATGGCTTTTCTTCTTAGCTGGCCATACCTAAAATTTATTTTACTTTAGTCAAATGTTTCACAACCAACACTTCAGAAATACACACTGAGGATGAAGCATGATGCACGACCCAATACTGCATACTTGGTCACTTGCAGGGCTGCAGAATTAGAATTTGCTGTCAGGAAAGGATTTCCTAACTTTAAATGATGGCACTGCAATTTATATAGGTTGCATATCAAATAATATCTGCTATTAGCTGGCTGGTTTAAGCGTGCTCAAGCTATTAATGTGTCAAATGATACTGGTGTTGATTTATAAGTATATGGAATACAGAACTATTTCTTGTTTTCATTTGGCGCATGGTCATTCTGAGGCATGCATTTCCAACACTTTTATCTTTGAGAAGCAAGAAACACATTGATAACATATTTGTCTCGAGTGACAAAGAATTAGAGCTGTAGCTCTGATGTCTCTTATCAGCATCACTGAGACAAAAACATGCCCAATAATACCCATACTTTGTCATCTTGCAATAAAGTTCTTCCTCAAAATCTTTACTCCACACCTTCATTACTCTTAAGAATGTTATTCTTGCTAATAAATATCACGGCCCTTTAACAAAAAGAAAGCCTATGCTATTTTAAGATCTTGCATGTTATTCTTTAATAGCGAAGAGCCAGCCATTGAGTTTCCCAGAGCAAAATGTTATGCTACAAAGAGCAAGGCATTGTTAAGTTCTACGTACAGTGAATTTCCATTAGTGACAACTATCGGATTATTTTTACAAGCTGTGCTTTTTTACTTTCCCCAGACATGATCAGATGGTAAAAATTCACTGCCCAAATATCAGCAGAATTTAATTCTGTGACTAAAAAACCAAACCAAAACAACACAACAAAACCCAATTAAACATAATGATCCTTCTGCAACAAACAGGAAAAATGAAATGTCTCTGTGATTGAGTGATTTGCTTGCACAGGCTCTGCCTTCACTTTACCTTTGCTCTACCTTAGGCTACAGATGGAAATTTTCACCAGGACCAGACTGTGGCATGCAAGAACAGACACGGAGCCGCAGTGCGTGAGATCACTGTACACCGATTACAGGATCTACTAGAGCCATGTGGTGGATCCTTTGTAATCAAAGAAAGCCTAGGTTGGTGCATTCCCTGCTAAAATAAAAAACAAACAAAATGCCTGTCTGTAGTGTACACTGAAATAGTAAGAGAGATGGGAGAAAAGGGAGAGCAATGCACTGTTTAGAATAAAATTGGCCTTCTGTGACATAAATACTGACCAACTGATAGACTGTTAAAAGAAAACGATATTTGCCCAAATAAAACAAAAAGGTTAACAAAGTCTGTTCACGAAAACCACAGACTAATCATTTGTGCACAAAGAAGCAGTACCTTATACCACTCCTGCCTGCGATTTCTGACCATTTCATTAATTAGATAACCTTATTCTCTTGTATTTAACTTACGGCTTTAGTATTCAAAATACAGACTTTGTATATCCATATTCAAATTCCCTAACTGCTAATTCTTCTTATGGGAAAAAAGCGTGCACTGAGTGATTAACATGCATTTTCATAGCTTGTCTGTGTTCACTGAAGCTGTCTGTTGTAGGCACCTGCACTTCCCTCTTCCCAGCAGTTCCCACTGCAACTGTGATTTACGTAAGCAGCTAAAGATGCAATAGGGAAGCAGTATTTTCACATTATCTACAAATACCACCTACAGTGTCATTTACATTTTGTAATTTAAAATAAAAGTAAAATAAAAATAAAATTCCTCTTTAAACTAAGAATTTTACTTTTTAAAAGACCTGTGAGAGGAAACACTGAATGGCTTGACTCATTGGTCTTGTCTCTAGCACTATTAATGAAGCTATAAAGCTGCAAGGTAGCAGTGACAATATTTGATGTACTAACATGCTCACCCTACACTGATTCTGTTTTTGTAAGGAGAGAGTTGCCATGCAAACATCTAGATGCGATACAGCAAAATCAGCTGTGCTGTAGCACCAGAAATCACAACTGGATGGATTTATGGTGCTGCACTTACTGCCATCTACCCAAGCTTCATCAGCGTTTTATCTACATAAAGGGTTTTATTGGCCATTGTTCTTTCTGGCAATGTTTAAATTTGTGCAAATCAAGTGCAAACTTCAACAGATCATAACAATAGTGCTTTAAGCACATTTAAGATAGGTTAAAATAATGACAAAGTCCAAGACAGAAAAAATCCAGTTCCAAAGCAGGTACCATTAGCTTCCATTAGTTGGGAAGAAAAATCAGGAGGACTTGTGCATCAAGACATATTGTAGTATTTAGGTAGAATTTTACCAGGCAATGTTAAATAAAATAATTCTAATAATCTACTAGCCTGCTAAATGACAACAGGAACCAGAGAGCATTTATATTGCTTTTTTCCACTAATCAATGGAATTAGCTTTAGTATCCTTATGTCTAATTATTGCTTTTTACAATCAATATCTACTTTATTAGATAGCATGGAAATGAAGGATAGATCAGAGTTCAAAGATTTCAAAAAACCTGTATGGTCTCAAAAAAAATAAAATCTGTTAACAGTCGAGTTAAAATCAGTCATGCATTATTACCCTCATTACTGTAATAGTAATATTCATTCCGTACACTTTGCATTACAACTGCAAAATTTACAGAAGTGTTTCCTGGATTAATTATTTCTTCATCAGCCAAGGTCGGTAGTTGCAATGAAGACAAATATAGTGTATCTGTGGAAATCTATAGAAATGGATGCTGTGTCCTGTTGGTTTTTGACTGGGCAAATGGAGTGAAATTAATCTAAACTTGGCTGATACGAAGGAGAAATGCACTTCACATTTTCTTACGTGACGTTTAAGCCTACCCATTGAGCAACAGGAAAAACTTTGACTCTTAGTCCTAGTTCTGAGGTGTTTAACAGAAGTCTCTCCACAGGCTCAGCGAGGTCTCTCCATCTTTACCAACCTTCCAGCATTTCAGAGCTGTACCAGGCACATCTGTGTCACCAGGTCAGTGTCACCGGATAAACAGCAAAAAAAACTTAGATCTTCCACTGGTTTATGGTGCTCACACTAGTGAATACCATAGCTCTCAGAATTACCAAGTCATGGAAATGAGGGCTGGAATGCAGCCCTCCAACTCAGCTTCTCTTTCTTCTCCTTGGTTCAAGTAAGGGTCATTTAAATCTGTTAATCTTGGTAAACGCTTGCCTAGTCTGTGACTCAGGTAGCTCAGTATAAACGTAATACAGTATTACCCCACTGGCACTCTAGTAAAAACTACATTTGAAGAGCTGAATTCAAGTAGAGTAGAGATTCTTTGATTTACATCATCTGAGTATCCTTCCTCGGTGTTACTTTCATCTTAAATTCACTGGTCGGGTTACTATTCAGGGCTCGATTCGTAGTATTTTAGCCACAAAGCTGACACACAGAAAAAAACCTGACAATTCACTGATTAAATAGCTTCAGTTCTTCCTCTGTTTAGGCATCAGCTCAGAACGTGTCTTCTCACTGCTGACTTTATAATGTACCAGAAAACTAGTCAGCACCTTCCCAAAACCAAAGGTGTGGGCTTGCTCTGAATTAAAGTGCTGCCAAAAAGCAGAAGTGAACAGTACAAAGTACATAAATTACATAATGCTCATATAGTTGGTAATGTAATACACTTCTTTCTTTTTTCTCTCTCACTGATCTGGATCTGGCTTAGACTAGCAGCGACTGAAAGCTGTTGGTATCTGGTGGCTAGTACATGATCTCTGTCATGTTCCCATTGGGAAAGTGTCTGTACGCCCAAAACATTATTCAAAATTATACCTTGTTCTTTTACATGTAATTATTCTGTCGTAAGCAGTGCAACAGCTGTCAGCCTTATTAACACGCAGGCCCAAGGCGGTTACGGAAATGTACCTCCCATCTGGAGAACAGAACACTTTAACCTTAATAAGGCAACAGCCTTATTAAGAGGGACGCCCTTGGAACCTGAAAGGCTCTGTGTCTCAGAGCCCTTAAAATCTGCTTTACTGCCTTCTTCTTTCTCAAGAACGAGTTTAAACACTCCTTTATTAGGTCCCGGTATTACAGAACAATTGTCCAGACATTTTAATCTGTATTTCACTCCTGTAAGAAACTTCTTCCCACAAGTCTGCAACAAATTACTGTTTAAAGCATACCAAAATGAAACATATAGAAACATAGTTCTGTGCTCACCCACGGGTTGAATCTTTACATGCCTGGCTTTATCAAATGATATACTTTTATTGCAAGTTGTATGACTTTGCTCTGCTCCCTGTCAGGGCAACAAAGTCTGACTGACGTCCTGCCTTCTGCTCCTGAGCATCTCTCCATCAGCAGCCGCTGGCCGCTCACTCCCACCCTTCCTCTAGAAAGGATTTTACATAGTTTATTATCCTTTTCATCTCTAAGCTCTAACTATGAGAACTTTGTAACTTTTGGCAAGTGACTGCCAAACGCATCACTTCAGTAGTCCAACCATTGTTCCCTTGAAGTTGTTTACTGAGATCTCTCATCTCTGACCATTGTTTAGTTTCCTGTTTGCTCTTCCTAACAGCTCCTTCAAACCCAACCCCCTTTACTCGGAGAGATTACCGTGACACAGAAAAGTGGAATACAATTACCCCAATAAAAAAGAGTCATCTTTACTCTCCATAAATGTTCACCAGGACTAAATTCACATATGTAAATGATGTTGTGTTTAGAGAAGTAACAAGTAGAATGTGAGCTGCAGAAGGGGCGTTGTGTACGTGAATTCTTCATCTCATGGTGCTTTAGAGGCAACTCTGCAAGCTGACAAGCTGCTAATGAACAGGACACCCAGGGAGGTGCAAAGTCACAAGCTTGGTTAGGCCTTTTTCCCAGACAGAAGGACCTACAACCCCCAGATACAGAACATGATTAACTGAAAGGAAGTTTTGCAAAAGCCATCATACTTACACTGTCATTGCTTCCTTTGTTGTCCTCGTATTTTGTCTCTATATGAATGGAGAACTTAGGCAAAAATGAACACTGCAACAGAAGAAAAATACATTTGTCATAAAAAATATGCCTTTGTTCATCAGCTGACATATTCAGGACTTCCTGATTGGTATCAACTTTCTTATTTTTATCAGATTATTTCAAGAAAAAGAACTCAGAGCGAAGATTATGATGATCCTGTAGAAGTGTAGAGATTCTATCTAAAAACTGAATACTATAATGAAGGTATAAATAAATTACCATAAGTACTCTGGAATAACTAGATACAATATTTTTCATGATCACTATGAATAAGAGTACAAATATCCTGAATGTCTTGTTCTAAATTCAGTTCACTAAGATCTCAAGAGCAACTAGATATTCGTCATCATAGATTAGTCTATCCCTCATATAAAATAATCCAAGGACACATCACTGGCTGCGGGTGCTAACCAAACAGACAACAATGCTTTGATGTGTGAGGGCTTTTTTTCATTTTCAGTGAGAAATTAATTTTACCATAATTTCCTGTTAATGAAATTAAGATGGATTGTGAGCTGCTGTGGAAATTCCTTTATACTAGACCCAAATCAATATTTAGATAATAATGCAAGAAAATTAAGAATGCACAAATGTTTTCCTATTAAATATTTCTGTAGTTTACATGGGAATAAATTTATTTTTCTGTGGATTGCTTAATTTAGTTGACTTATCCTGACTAGAATTTGTAATACTAGGCAACATCATTCCAGTAGAAAAAATATTTCATATATTTTTTCTTTAGCATTTCACAGATCTTCTTTCAAATCAACTTTTCAGATAGGCAGGTAGAGTAGATCATCAAGCCTTTGCTTGCATTAACTGCCAGTGAAACCGAAGTGCCAATTCCCTGGATGATGCATCACTAATACCCTAAGGCAAAGTGTCTTTGTAAAGCCTACGACTATTTCATGTGCAGATTATACAATGTGGACATTATGATGCCTCAGTGTTCATATTGCTGTTGGTCCAAGTTTGGACTTGATAAAATGTGCAGAGTTCTTCTAAGGGAGAAGCTGATGACTAAGAAAAGAGGTGATTGAGAAGGCCAACTCTAGCGCAACAAAACTGAAATGAGAAGCCAGCTTCTTTGAGACTACAGAAAATATATTCCTGATTCCATGGCTATCACCCAACAAGTCACTGTTCAGTCTTCTGATCACAGGATATCTGGCATTCAATGAGCACATCTAGAATCAAGCCTTGTTGAAAAAAAGAGTGAGTGAGTTTTGCCAGAAGAACGTTCTGGTGCCATGGAAGGTTTCTGGTCAAACTGCCTTCCCATTAACATAATGAGATACTCCCATGTAACATGTTGGTGCTGCAGATGCCCAGACTGCACAGGCTTCTCTTCAGATCGTATAAATGTTTTGCCTTCTATTAAAGATTTCTGTGGAGTAGCACATTTATGAGTTTCAATCCAATCTGAACTGTGACTAGCTCGCAGCTATGCAACTTGTTCACCGAGTGACTATGTGGGAGGGGAAACAAAAAATCAGCAGTGTGCAGGATGGGGCAAGTTCAATGACGGATCTGCTAGCTCCTATTACCCATATTTTGCAGGCAATTAAACATTTCCTATGTATACATCTCAGGAAGTGCCAGCTGAAAATATACAATATTTATAAGCAGTCTGTCAGAACTGGGGATCTTGTAACACAAATTAACACCAAAAACCCCCAGATATTCTTCCAATTGAGGTTTCTCCTTCTATCTCAGTATGTTGCTCCTATTCTGGCAGACATCCAAATGCATCTGCAAACAAAAGCCTTAGCAAACAGTAGGCACTACAGGGAAAAAAGATGAAAAAGAAAAAAAAGCCAAGGTTTGTCATAAGGTTCTAATTTGTATCTCCAAAATCAACCAAAAGGTGGAATGAACATCCTTGAACTATATTAATGTTAGCTGGAAGAAGAGATGAATAAAAGGGGTTGATTAAAAGAATTCTATAATCAAATGTTCCTAGAGTAAGACAAGTTATAAATGTGATGTTACAAAAACCAGAGAATGACCCAGGAGATACAGGGATGCCAGCATGTCCTAAAACCATGTTTGATGTCACTCAGAGGATTTGTATTCAAACAGCATAAATCGACATTCTAGCTGTTCTCTGCGTTTGCAGGAGAACATGGAGGGGTGAAAAGTAACTTACTACTGGAGATGGATTATGAAAACCAGATTTTTAAAAATGTATAACCTAATGACAGACATCTACTGCACGGTTTTTAGAGCATTTGGAAAATAACTACTTTGGTGCTAGGGTGGTAAAAACATGGGTTACCAATCTCATAAATTTAGTATATGGCAGCCTTGTATTTTACAGAGATGCGTAACTACAGGGGTCACAGTCCTGGCGTACAGAGCTCTTGCTGCCAACAACCAAGACCTCTGCATATGGGCAGCCTGTGGGAAAGCATCTGTGAGGACAGGAGAGGAGACTGCCAATGAATATTTTGGTTTATCAGCAGTTCCTAGTACTGCTTACTGAATGCAGTAACTGGTACTGCGCTGCTGAGGACTCAGTGCTCAGGTCTGAATAACAGCTTTTAGAAACATTTTCACTGGAAATGGTAGAGGTGTAGCCATACTATCTACAACATACTAACTGTTTAGAACAGTTATTAGGAAAACACAGTGTACTAGCATCGTGTCTGCGTATTTCAAGGTTACTGCTCTAGGCCATGTTTTACTCACATGTTAGTGTGTGTTAAGTATCCGCCCTCTTGATTTCAGGACCAAAATTTAATTTTCTTTGCTACACAATTAAACAAAATCAATGCCCTCTAAATAAAATCTAGTTATTGAAAAAAACCCAGAAAACAGAATTACATCAGTGATCTATCATTAGTGGAAGGGTCATCAAGACTACAATGCTTGAACAGATTTTGTATCCAAGTCAGAGCTTTGTGAACCTGCAAACTTTTAAGTTATGCAGCGCAAGTCTAGGGGTTTGTTGGAAACCTTGGTGGCTCTGGAAATTGCTCTGACCATGCTGACCCTAATGGCTCTGGGCAGTGCAGTTCTCTTGGCTCTTTTAAGCAGCAGCAGGATCCACCACAGGACTCGGTGCTGCTTTCATAGCCCTGCTGTCAGAAAACTCCATTGACAGAAGGAACTTCAATAGAGCATCTTTCACATTTACAGCCAATACAAAGCTGATACCCTTACCAAAACAGTTCCTCATCCCTGGTTTTGAGTAAAGTCTTTGCTTATGATCTATAGAAATGAAGGAGTTGTTGGATTGAGTACATTTTTCAATACTCAACCACATTTTTCTTCATTACTTTTAGGTCACAGTTTCAGGTACAGTGGAGGATAAATATGCAAAATATGAAAAACCTTTGTGCTGTTAATCTGAAGCATGGCTACAGATCAGAGGAAAATTTGATTAGCCAAATTCCAGATTTCTGTTTTACCTTGCTTTCAAAAAATATTTACTATTTTCAACCGCTGTCTAGAGTTTACCAGCAGTGAATCAGATCATGACACTGAAATGCAGCCATTTCATATATTGAACTTAAGGCTGCATTACGCTGCCTGTAACAGCTCAGCAAACCACTGCTTCAATCTAGTCGGTGTTTCCTGTGACCCAGAACCTAAACTCTAATTAAAAAAAAAAGAAATCTTCTAGTCTGGTATTGCAAAAAAGAAACATTAAGAAAAGACTAAGGATCTTCAGAGTATTATAGAAGAATTAGAAGTGCCATTACCTCAAGTCACCTCATTAGAGAGCAGAAAGTAATTTTCTGCACAAAGCTATCAAAAGTGAACCTCCCTGCGCATTTCGTACAAAGGCGAGGGCTATAACAATCTAATTTGAGATTATATATGGCAACATGAATTTACCCCAAATGAAAATTAAAATCCACCACCAACTACTCCATTGCAAATGTAGCTCTCAAACTCAACTGACTGGCAACCACTGTTTTAGCAGCTGTGGGGGGTCTCACTGGCTTTCAGGAACTCTTAGCAGGGTCCAAATTTTTGAACGTTTCACAGAATGTGTCTCATGATTCATCAGCTGCACTCTGACTAATTGGCAGAGGGCTCTGGCAGAACCAGGAAACTGTTTATGCATCATTCAAAAGACTTTATTATTCATCATGCAAAAAGTTGTTGGGTTTTTTTCCCTCCTTAAGTGGTTGGGTATTTACTTAAGCCAGGGATTAAGTGTTATGCAACAGTTAGAATCAAACTTGGGAGTGAACGGTAGGTAATAAACCTTTTACTAGATTTTTTTTTTTTTTCTTTTCAAAGCACCACTCCCTTTCTGCTCTGCCTCCCCCGGGGCGTGTGTTCTTCCAGCACAAACCTGGCAGCCGATCGATGCACTGAGCACGCACAGGAATGCACAGGGCACTGTTTCCAATTTTCCATTTCACTATCTCTACAGCTTGCAAGGTTCCTCTTTGAAAAAACTAGTGGCAAATTGAATTTTTAACTTGAAATTAGACTTAAGTTCTACATAATAGGACAAAGCCTTCAGAGTCCTACTGTCTTCAATGATAAGGTTTCTTTGTGTAAATTTCTCAGAGGAAGAGTCTTTTAAATTGTCACCTCCAGATTTATTTAGATTTGTCATAAACTCCTTCAAAATATGTTATAATCTAGTATACCTATGACACTCAAAAACAAATAAGGAGAATATCCTGGGGGTTTTGTTTGTTTTTTTAAACTTTTGATATTTGGCACCCCTTTTAGAAGAACCAGAAGAGGTTTAAAGCTCAAGAGAGTAACGAGTAAAGTAACCAGAGTCTGTAATAGTAATTACCACACATAAAAGCATGGGTATTTCCAGATTAAAATAAAGTGAAATGCAGAAAACACAGACCGCAGTTGCATTTTCAATTCACTACAGATAACCTCTTGAAAAATGAAAGGCCTATTTTTAGCATGATGATTGATTAGTGTTGCCATAGCAATAAGCAACACTTACAAGAACAGGGTAGAACCTAAGTATGCCAAAACACTATGCCAAAGTCTTAAAGAGACAGTCAAACACATACGGTGTTTTACAATCGTTTTATGGAGAGGACAGTAAAAATAACCTTAGCATGGTAATTACACCCGAGGTGGCTGCAGGAATTACTATGGCTGCCAGTAAATACGTTAGACAGAGGGTACCTGGAAGGTTTCTTTACCCTCTGTAACCTGCTCTGTATGAGCGAGTGCTATTTCATCAATACCAGTTTAGTTTCATTTTCCATTTGGTTTCTTTCTGCAGAATGTTCAAAGACCTCCTAGAGACCTCATCACTGCACTTCACTTCTCCTGCTCCTTGTGAATATTAATCCGCAATTCTTGGGAGTTATTTTTGTACAGTGAAAATTAATCCCACTTTTTTTTTTTAAGCAGCAGAAGCATATCCCCCTAAATCTTAACATAAAAGGCTGGAGAGGCAGTAATTTCATGTAAATGTTCTCTCTGATCTCCCACCACTTTTCAGACTGATGATTTTTTTTTTTTTTAACATGGTCACATATACATTATTTTGGCAACACAGGTGGAACTGGATCCTTTACAGAGCAATCTTCATGGAGCCTAGAGCTAAAGAACGCAGTAACTACTACATTGAGGTGAGACTGGCCAAGCAAAACTAGATTTTTTTTTTTAATAGGGTAACTTCTAGATACCACATCCTTTGAATTTGAAATATTTGGGCACTGATTAGGTAGTCAGTGGGTAACAGCAGCTTTTACTTATTGAAGATCAAAAACCTGGAAAAGACAAATGGAGTCCCTACTTCTCATTAATAGGCAAAGGGAAAGTGTGGACTAAGGAGTATTGGAAGGTCCCCAGACTTACTGAGGCAGGAGGGAAGGCCCAGCACTGCAAGGGACAAGGAGGTAAAACAGGCAGGCACACACACACACCAGTCCTGGAGCAACAGGGGGCATTTATAAACAAGGAGGATGGATGGAATGGGAGGAGGGATGTAACATGGGAGATTGCCAATGCCTCCAGACAATGGCGAGGACAAAGCGGAGACACCTGGATGTGGGAGAAAATCAAATCACACATGGGTATGGATAAACAAGATGTCATTCTACAGTTTATACGCAAGAAGAGATGTGAAGATAATACAGTGATGTCTCTACAGCATATTTCAATGTACAGTATTTCCTTCAGCTATTTACAGAAAGGATGAAGATAGTTTCTTTAATTGGCTATTCAAAGTTTTTTGGAAAATGGCCACCATGTTCCTGGCTACCTTCAAAATGCTCCGGACAGCACTGCATGTGAGCACATGGAGCTGCTATGTGATACAGGTTACTTACTACACAAAGTAGCACCAATCAGGATGACAAAGTCGGAAGAGAATTGACGGAAAGGGCTAGGCAGGGTGATGGCAGAACTTGGAAGATGTGACTCAATGAGAGGGAGGAGAATTTGGAAAGCAAGATAAGCACAGGAAGGTGGCGAAGAACAGAAAAAGCCCTGTTGAGCGG